CGAGGGGGCATGTAGGTGTGTGTGTGTGTGTGTGTGTGTGTGTGTGTGTGTGTGTGTGTGTGTGTACAGACCTGCTCCCCTTTTTGGAAAACCCCACGTAAAAACCGAGGGGTATCTTGAAGCATTTGGTTCCCCCTCGGAAGCTTATGGGGAGCAGAGAGCACAGGCCTCCTGTGGAGGCTGGAGAGAATGAGTTACAGTCAAGTATCTGGAGTTTTATGAACTGAAGTTCCCCCGGGAAGCAAGACACCACAGAAACTCCAGGAAAACAGGAAGGTACAGTTACAGTCGGGAAGAGGTAATTTCCTTCAAAGAAATTCCTTTCTGTTTGTGCAAAGTGAGGCCACAGATAATAAACTTTCACAGGATGATAATAACAAACATTTGTATTTGGTGATTTTTTTTCCCCCTGCTGGGCTCATTTCCCTGCACTCTCTAATTTAAGACGCTTGCTTCCGGAGATGCGATCTGATGGGTGCGTGACCAGCTATGGACCCAAGGAGGAAATGGCACCTTTGGGGGAATATTTTAATTTTTAATTACAGCTTGGATCCGCGTGTGATCAATGGTAGGCCTCACCTAATGTCTTGGAGGCAGTGGACCGAGGGGTATCTGCTGATTTGCATGTCCTTTTTAGTTATTACAGAGATACCCGGATCATTTAGGCAATAAAACAGCCAAGAAAATGTGGCCCAAAGGAAAATGAGGATACAGTGTGAGAACCGACAGTGTGGATACGGGCGAGCCTGTCAGTCCCCCGTCCTCAGTGTCTCCTCACTCATAGGGCAGGTGAGACATGCCAGCTCCTGGAGAAGCCTAGGAGGGGACATCTGTTTGGTCGACACTGGATACCGGTGGGCGGCTTTGGCATCCCCAGCTCCTGGTCATGGCTGAAGATAGTCAACTATCTATGAAAGGAGGTGGCCTGAGCCGGTTTTTTTGTTTGGGTACTGGGCATTGAATCCAGGGTCACTCTACCACCGGATGACACCCCAGCCCTTTTGATTTTTTATTTTGAGATAGAGCCTTGCCTGGTGGCTCAGTCTGGCCTTAAACTTGCTATCCTCCCACCTCAGCCTCTCAGTTGCTGGGACTATAGGTGTGTCCCATGAATCAGGTAGAAATCCTGAACTTTCTGTGGCCTGACAGAGAGAAGAAGATCTCACCTAAGGTCCCTCGTGCTGTCCCTAGACTCTAACGTCAAGAGGAACAAACTCGGAGGAAAGAGAAGCCAACGTATTTGTGTGTCTTTCAACTTGATGAACGTGGCCACCCCTCCGGAGAACTAATTTTTGTGTCTAATTAAACATGGAAATGCTATGTTTTCCAATCAACAGCCAATCAGTCCGTGATACTCAGAATACCATTACTGGAAGCTGTGATTTCCCTGCAAATTGCTCTTTCAGTTACATTTTTAAGATTCCATCTCCTAAGACTCTAAGGACAGACTGAAAGTTCAGGGCGGAGGAAGTTGACTTTCAGGTGGGTCCGAGCTTACCATGAGCCCTCCAGGTAGGCGTTGAGGCCTTTGCGAATGACATGGCCCAGGTAGCCGTTTTTCTCAGCTACGTGCTTCGCCCATCTGAAAAGGAACGGGAAGAAAAAAAAATATGCAAACTGTGGCAAATTAAATAATCACTTTTTTTCTTCATATGATCTCAATAAATCCCACTTGGGGAATATTTTGCTTGTTAGAATTTTTATAAAGCAACAAACCAGAACTGAATGTTAAGGAGGTGAAGAAAATGTGTTTCGAGAGCTTTTCATTCAGTGCCCCCTTCTTAGGAACGCTCAGAAGCTTTCTTTTATGGAAACAAAGACATGCAACATACATAATGAAAAATGCCTACCGAGATGAAAAAAATAATCTCCACCAAGACTTCTAGTAGTCTTTCCATGAATATATGTTTTTCCTAGTCTGTTCCTGTCCCCTAATATATCCTAGAGGGGTATATTAATAATGAACTAGTCTGGACTAAAACCACTAAAAGAATAGCAGAAGAATGCAGAACTAACAAGCTCATAGGAGGGGGAAGAGAATAATATTTAAACAGACTTGATTAATACATAGGAAAGCGAAAAAAAGACACAAAGAAAGAAAACTAGGTGGGACAAAGAGGAAGTAATAACAAAATGGTAGATTTTAAAAACAAATATATCCAGAACTACATTACATGTAAATGAACTAAATAACCAATTAAAAGCTAAAATTGTGAAAAACGTACAAAACCCCAATTATGTGCTACTTACAAAATATATACTTTAAAAGTAAAGGACAAAGATAGAAAGCAATAGTGGGAATAAGGTACATAAAACTCTTAACAATAAAACCTGGTGTAACTTCATGAAAAACAGAAAAGAAAGAGAAGGAGAGAGAGAGATGAAGGAAGAACCATCAACCGAGACAAAGAAATTATAAATGAGGAAGCGGTCAACCAGAAAGGCAAAACAATCAGCATCTGTGTGACTCAGGAAAGTAAAGTGTCTCCATGTGAGGCCGAACCAACAGAACTAGACACAGACACAGCTATCCACACCTGGGGAATTTTAATGCAACCCTTTTCAATAACTGATATAGCAAAACATAAAACGTCAGAAAGGACATAGAAGAGCTGAACAATAGAATTAAGGAACTTGCGGTAACTGATACGTAGGTAGACATTGCACCAACTCATTTAGAAATCACGGCTCTTTTTTTCAAGAGACCGGAAAACATCTACCAAAATTGACCATATCCTGGTCAGCAAGCAAGCCTCAGCAAATGTCAAAGGATTGAAGACATCCAGCCTATGTTCTCAGACCACAACGGGAATCAAACTGAAAATCAATAACAAAAGGATAACGAGAAAGTTCATGAAACACGAGTGTTCCACACCAGATAGCCTTCAGGACGATGATAAAGAGCCCTGAGGCCATTCACGGTAAGTTCTATGCTGCGCTGAGGTCAGGATGGGTCTGACTCCACGCTGTGCAAACAGCCTTCTGGAGAGCCAGGCTGCCGGTGTCAAGTGGCCTGAGGAGAAGTGAGCAATTTTTTTTTCTATGAAAGGCAAGATCACAGGTAATCACTGCTGCATATTCATTTTTCTTTGCTTTACAACTCTCTTCAACTGTGAAAAAAAAAAAAAAAACAAAAAAAACATTCTTTGTTCTCGGAGCCACACAATGGGTACTGAGCCACACTGCAGCTGCTGGTCCTCGTTTGCCAATCTCTGGACAACATTTTAGATATGCAAGACCTCAAAAATAGCCTCCTGCTCACCATCGTGCAGGAAGCTACCGTAGGATGTATCCTTCCAAAATATAGGTACAGAGCAAGAAGAAAGGGGCTCAGCAGAGAGAACACAACCCCCCCCCAACAGAGATGGAAGGGAAGGAAACCCCCACAACAGTGATGAAGGTGTTCTCAGGGTGATAGCCCTGCCCTAAACAAAGACTCCAGGAGAGATGTGGGCAAGAAGAGTAACTAAGTAGGACACAGGGCAACAAAGAGAGAGGAGACTGACATCTGGAAGAGATTGAGATGGAGATCAAGTACCTACAAAGAGATGAGAATATACAGCTAAGCAAATAAACAACGATAAGAAACGATTACTGTCGTATAGAATAGAAAAGTTTTGCAAGGAAAAAAAAAGCAACCGTAATATTCTGCATGTTTCAGCCACTGATGGCATTTACATGGATGCAATGATGTGAACTCTGATACTGGGCTGACCCCCAACATATGCTCATTGGGAAGATGAGAGCTGGCAGGACGTGTGAGCGTGTGGGACAGTGGGAGGTGGCAGAGGCACAGAGGGCTGCAGCCTTGTCTCTCCCCGGGGCATCACTAGACAAAGCCCATGTACCAAGGCACAGTGGAATCTGCCTGCTGTTTAGAGAGAAGCCAGAGAGAAGGAATAAAAGATTGAAAGTGATTTACTCCAGGGAGCAGGAAACAGAGGCTGGGGGTGGGGTGGGGTGGGATGGGGGTAGCGAGCAGGATTCCCTTCCTTTCCTTGTCAATTTTTTTTTCTTATTTCTAATTTAGAAATTTTTAAATTTTGTCCTTATTAATTAATTTGGCGCTTTAACCTACATGCCTGTATAATTGATAAAAATCATTTTAAAAATGCAAAAAAAGGGAGGGAGGGAGGGCGAGGGGAAAGGAAAAGAAAAGAAAAAGAAAGAAAGAAAAGGAAGAGGAAAAGGAAGTCCATCTTCTCAGGCTCGGTGAGCGGAGGACATGGATTTTCCGTCACGGGCGACACTTGACAGATTCTTACACAACCGCTTTCTCGGGATCCCTCGGGAAGGTGTCCAGGTTGCCTGTGATATAGTAGAGAGAACACCACAAGGTCCCTTCGATGTGTCCCCCTTGCGCAGCCTTATGGAAATATTCACCAGCTAAAGTCTGCAGGGAGAGACAAACAGACGTCACTGTCATTAGCGAAAGGTCCCCTGGCAGCGCTGGTCTCACCAAAGCCAAGGTGGTGCAGTGCTTGAAGTCCGATATTATCACTGGCTTGAAACTTCTGATACTTGAGAAAACCAGGTCAAGCCATAGTTCCAGGAAGACAGCTCATCACCGAAGCCAGCCTCCGGGATGTAGGACCTCGCCCAAAGCTATTCTGTTGATTAAGTTTAGCCAGGAGGGACAACGACAGGTGAAGGAGGGCACCACTGCCTTCTCATTTGATCCTCACATAACCCCTGCGCGCTCCACCAGGACTGTATCAGGAGTCACACCAGGTGAAAATTCAAACATTTGCTTTCCTAACCTTGCTCAATACCTTGCTTCAAACTCCTGTACGAAAACTGCATTTCCAGTAGGAAGGTGAGAATTAGAAAATGACAATAAAAAATCGTCACTCACAGATGTGTGGGAGGCTCACCAGACATTTGCAATGCATAAAAATATCTGCCTCGTGGGCAATCAGACGGAGGCGGAGGGGAAAAAGAAAACAAACACTTAGATGGGGGTTCGTACTTCCCCTGATTAACATGATTCTTTGGAGGCAGTTTGCTATTATTTTTAAAAGCATGGGCTTGCGAGGCGGGCCGACTGGGGTTCAAATCCCAGCTCTGCTCTTGATGAGCTCTGTGGCCTTGGGCTTCTCCGTTAATCTCTCCAAACATCATTTTCTGCAATTGTAAAATGTGGCTGCTGATTGTCCCTAGCGGGAAAGTTTGGAGTGAGAATTAAATAGAACACCATATTCGCAAGGCTTAGCCCGGTGCTTCACAGAGAATAAGCTTCCAATCCACTCTCCTGACCCCGCCAGCTCTGGTAGCCCCAGTCTCGCCCACTCCCACCAATGCTACCTCCCTTCTCCCATCTCAATAAATGCCAAACACCTCCCGCCTCTCATGCCCCACAGCCCGCCCACCTGCAAACCCTGTCCCCTCGTCCTTCAGATCTGTAGATGCCTTCCCTGACATGACCCTGTGCTGGCCGCTGCCCCCTCTCGCTGGGACTCAACTGCTCCCACCCTGCTCTGTCTTCAGTATCTGCTGGGACCCAGGAGGAGGCTCTTCAATCGCAGCCTGTCACGTCCCTCCAAGACTGTCAGCAGTTCAGCAAAGGCTGAGTCAGGTGGCCTGGTCAGCGCGTGCTTGGCCTCTCTCCATCTGTCCTGCTTTCTGCTCCTGCTGTCCTGGCTTCCCTGCGGTTCCTCTCGCACACCAAGCCTACTTCCCTCTCGGGGCCTTTGTCCTGTGACCTCCTTCTGGAATGTTCTCCCTGACAGCCCCAGGTCTCCTTTGGGAGGCTGTCACTTCACCAGAGAGGCCTTCCCTGGTCTCCCTTAAAAAACAGTCTCCCTCACAGTCCTCCCTCCGGCCCTCCTCTCTGTTTTATTCTTTCCCATAATATTTTCTCCACTTGCCCTGTGGTCAGATATCTTTTTTTCCTTTCCCTCCTACTGAAAGCAAAACTTCACGTGAGCAGGGACTGTTTTGCCTGCTCCGTGTCCTTACTGCCCAGAAACGTGCCTGCTGTAGGTGGGTGGCCAATAAACGCAGTGGGATACGATGGAGCTGGGGGTATTGTCACCATATCGATAGGATTTTAACACAGGGGCTCCATTTCCCACAGAGTCCAGGCCCCGGCTCGACTACACACACGACTCCAAGTTACTCAACCCTCAGTTGCCTCCTCCATAAAATGGACAGGATCAGAGCAGACATTTCAGAGGGACACAAGCCTACACAGTGCCACGCGGGGCACAGAGGAAGGGCTGAGAGGCACCGAGGACGCCAGAACTTTCGTTATCATGAGGTCTGGCCTCACATGGGCACCCCACCTGGACTTGGGCTTCTAGTAGGATCAGTCCCAGCTTTCACCCTCAGCCTGGGTCACGTCCTCCTCTGGCCCTGCTCCAGCCGCCTTCCTCCGTGGACCCTGCACTGGCCTTCGCTGTGTTTCCTCTCCACGTGGCACACGTGGCACCTGGCTGAACACCTGCCTTTGCTCTTCACTCTCTTCCTAAGGGCACTCTGAGCTCCTCGAGAACAGGGCCTGTCTCAGGTGACATCCTCATGCCTTCCCCTCCTGGTGCCTAGTCCAAGTTTGGCCCAGAGGACGCCTTTCATCCACACATCAGGGCAGGGGGACTGTCCAGCTGCAGTGCTGGTCTCCAGGCTGCTCACCAGATTCCTCCCAGAAACTCCTGGGAAAATGCCATCCAAATACAGGACTCCAAGATTGTACGACGCGTCTGGGTTCCCCATTTCTTCTGCTTTTAACCAGTACTTTGCTGCTTTGGCGTAATTTTTCTTGAATTTGTGGTAATACCATCCCAGGCCATTGACGGCCTGATGCAATCCCTGAATTTTTAGAACAAGAAAGAAATTATTATTATTATTATTTTTTTAATGAAATCTAAAGAGATGCAGAAGTAACTGCTGTGAAACATTCTGCCCAAGTTTGAGCAAAACCTTCTCTTTCTCTTTTTTTGGGGCAGATGGCGTTCAAGAAAAGCTAAGCACTAGAAAACATGAGTTGGCCTGAGAGACTTCCCAGGTGGGTTCTGCCCCGCTGCTGCTAGGATTTCAGCCTTCCAGCTCCGCGGTGAGGCTGGCCCCCAAATCACCACTCAGCGCCTGGGGCCCTGAGGCAACGCCCTTGCCTACACTAGCCTCCACTGCCCGGCGGGATCAGCGGTGCCCTTGAAATTCCTGAGTACCTGACTGTGGCGGGAGACCTGGAACCTGCAGCTGGGATGGTTTCTAGGTGATCCACCTGCCCATCTGTTGATTGCTCGGCCCTGACACCAACAGCCCCTTGGAGGGACGCAGCTGCCACAGCCCTCGTGCAGAGCATTGGTGTTTTGTGACTGCTGGGCTTCCCCGTTTCTGGTTGGGCTGAAGCAGAAGGGCCGAGTAGAGAGGAGGAGGGCTTCTGACCCTGCTGAGCTCAGGAGCTGGCGCTGGGGAGGGGCCACTCCAGCCTGGAGCCCACGTACCTACTGAATGCATCCCATGAAGCACGGGCTGTGCTCACACTGCCATGGAAGCTCAGGGGCCCTGGTGGGGCCTCCCTCCCACCCAGGAGACCCCTGCGTGCACACCTGGCCACAGAGTGCACACCTGGCCAGAGAGCGCTCTCATTCCTCTTTCTCACCTGACCCACGAAACCATGAAAACCAACAGCAAAGAACAATGTGAGGGTCAGACAGTGGCCTCTCGGCAGTGGACTTGTGAAGTCAGAATCTAAGTTGGAACCACATCTCTTTTTTACTCCCCTTTCCCCAGTGAAGACCAGGTGTCTCTAAAGAGCAGGTGACAGGGTTCTTGCCTGTAGCCCGGTCAGTCAGCAGAGGCCTAGAAGGCCATGCCTTCTAGTGTTTATGTTTTAATCTGGGGTCAGGAAGTTCTGGAGAACAAACTAGCAGAGCCCAATGGAGTGGAAGCTCCCTGAGGGTTGGGACTTCAGTTTTTATCCCAGACACAGAGCAGGCGCTCAGTACATACCTGCTGGATGAATCGGAGCGCTTTGAATGCCAATGAGAATCAAAAGGGATTCCAAACTCTATGCCCTTAGGATGGAGAGTGGGGTTTGGACTCATAGGCTACCAAGTACCCACCCTGAGAGTGCCACTTGGGAATTTCAAGGCCATTGACCCAATCATGGAAGCATTCTTCTTGAGCCTGTGACGAGGTAAGCTCCCAGTAAATACTGTAGAATGCGTTTATGAAGTAATAGACCAGGTCACAAGTGACGAGAGTCTGCTTTGGGATATACCCACAGAAGGGACCCATGGAAATGACTTTTGCAGTTCTTAACTCAAGTGACCTTAGATGTATTCAGAGATACCTGCCACTGACCAAAAACTTTTCCAAACTGCTCCTCTCGGAATTGGTTTTGGGCTTAGGGGTCCAGAAGAAATTCTGTCTTATTGCTTAGTACTTAGACTTTGCCTAAGTACATTTACTCGGTTGGATCAACAAGATCTGCCTCTGTGTGACTTCTAATTCCAAAAATCAACTATACGCAACCTTTACCACAGTCCCTGACAAATAGTAGGGCCTTAAGAAATCCTTGCTGAATGAATGAATGAGAATCACAAAGCACTTTGAAGAACATGACTATGCCAGACCTCAAAACTACATTTCCCCAATAAGTTCTGCAAAAAAAAAAAAAAAAAAAATCTATTCAAAATAAAGCAGATTAGACTTTAATTCACCACTAGAGACCTGAAGAGGTGCAAATTTCACACCTGTGAAACCCATCACTATCCCACTTTAGAATATTCTGGGACCAGTACTCTAAATGACCACCATTACGCTCCTGTTCTATTTCTGCCCTATACTTTCTGTCAGGTCAGGAGCAGGTGTGCACACTGGCAAGTCCCTCTTCTTGGGCCATGTGTCCTCTGAACAACTCCCATTCCGAGGAGAGTCTCTGCAGGGTCTTGTTTTGGGCTCCACTTTCCTGCTCTGGGGAACAGGACATTCTGTCCCCGCCCAGGGAAAAGTAAACAGGGATAGAAAGTCAATAAGGTTGCTTCAGGAGTCTCCATAGATAAGGCCATCATTTGCAGCCTTGGGAACAGAGGCACATCCAAGAGTCACAGGGTATAAAGTGTCCTGTCAACGCCAGGTGCAATGGCACATGCCTATAATCCCAGTAACTTGGGAGGCTGAGGCAGGAAGGTCATAAGTTTGATTCCAGCTTTAGCAACTTAGCAAGAGACCTTACTCCAAAGAAGAAGCGGAAAAAGGGCTGGGGATGCAGCTCGGTAGTAGAGCAACCCGGGGATCAATTCCCAGCACTGAAAAAAGAAATCCAATTAAGATGTAGAATTAGAGTGGTTTCTCCAAATCTATTAGTTTGCAAATCTGTATGCAGGCTCATGTGAGTGTATGTGTGTGAGTATGCATGCATTGTGTGTGTGTGTGTGTGTGTGCGCGCACGTGCGTGCGCCTCCTCTCAAGAGCTTTCATAACCTCCTTTCTGTAGTGCTACATAGAATCTAGCTCATAGCATTAGAGTGAAAAATAGGGACAAAAGCAAAATAATTTCTAAACCTGCTAATAACCTTGGTAAATAGTCCCCTTATCAAAGCCCAAGAAGCCAATGGGAATTGGACAGGACGGGGTTAACCTCCTAAAGAATTAGACTTTTGGTTTTCCTAATTCATTGGCGTTTACACCATTCAATTTCAAGGAGCCCCCGCTGCTTGTTATCAGGGCAGCTCATGATTATAATTTTAGCCTTCAAACAAAATCAGCCTGAATTCTATTGACTGGAAGGTGAATTCAGCTTTTGAATCCGACTGTCCCCATTGTGGCTGGATTCTGTGTGTGCAGCAACTCAAAAATGATGAACTGCTGCAGCCGGGACCCTGCCCGTCCCACCTCCAGTAGGAAGAGCTGCCTTTTCCCTCAGCCTCTGAGTGCGGGGGTGCGGGGGTGCAGGGGTGCAGGGGTGCACTGCTCCCTCCCACAGGTGCCCGAGGTACCTTGAAAGCTGCTTTCTTCATCAGCTCCAGGGCCAGCCGTCTGTTCTTTTTCACTCCTTGACCCTAAACATTGATAAACAGCAATAATCATCAGGAAAATCAACTATGTGCACTGACAAGCGTCACATAAAATCCTTACAAATAAACCCTCATCCTAATTAAGATCATCCTAATTAAGAAGTCCACCTTAAACATTTCCATGCTCAGCACTGATACGTCTCCATCGCCACCAACGCCGCCATCGTCATCATTAGGATTTTGCTCATATTTGTGGAACAGAGGCAGCAAACCTCAACCTCCCAGCTTAGCATCAGTACAAAATCCCCCTTGATCCCCGTGTGAATCATTTTCCCGACACGCCCCGGGTCCTGTCGGGAGAAGCCAGGAATCGGGTTAACTGTGTTTGGTCTCCTGGATGCTTTCCTCCGGGATTATCTAGTATGCCAGCCAGACAAAGCACGTTATCTGGGTTGGACAGTCAAGAGTTATTGGGCAGTTGCTGGTAGCCTCCTTGGTCCTGGCTCCAGACCCCAGGGTGTGTCGCTGTGGCTTCACAAGCAGCTTGAGAACCTGCTGCGAAGGAGATAGGACCCTGTGAAATTGGTTGCCCCAGAGGCAAGCGACAGACATTATCAAGGTTCTTCCAGCAAAATCATGATTTTCCAGAAGAGTTGGTTTATCCTTCTGCAGAGACATGGTCTCTGAAGCTCTTGTTACCAGAAAGGAACTCCGTGGCCCAGGCTGAGGTGTCTGCAAGACCATGTGCAAAGTGGTGGGTCTGAGAGGTCTCTGGGGACACAGGTCTGACAGGGAAGACGCCGGGCACGGGGAGCGAGTTGGCAACGCTGCTGCTCCAAACTCACGGAGAAGTCCAACACCCTCAATCCTCCAGGGGCCTCATGGGGTCTATTACTATTTGGACCTGGAATGTCCCCCCAAAGCTCACGTGTTGAAAGCCTGGGCCCCAATGCAGAAGGTTCGGAGGTGGGGGCTTTCAGGCAATGCCTGGATCCTGAAGATCCAATTAATGGGATGATGGATTAATCCACGGATAGCAGAAAGGACGAGCGGGAGATGGGATCTAGTTGAAGAAGTAGGTCACCCGAGGCGCGCCGTCCCTCTTCCCTCCCTCTGTCTCTCTTTCATCTTTCTGCTTCCCACCTGCCCTGTGCTGGGCGGCATTCCCCCACCATGCCCTTCTGCCATGTTTGTGAGATGGTGTCAGCTGACCACAGATTGAGACCCAGGGAACGGTAAGCCAAAATAAAGCTCTCCTCCTCTAAGTTGCTTTAGTCAGGCATTTTGGTCACGGCCATGCAAAACTGACGAACACAGGGTCCTTTGGACTTAGACAAAGTCAACAGGGTCACCTGTGAGGTGAACGTGAGAGGCTTTTGCAGGAATGCAGCTATTAGCTCAAGCAAATGGAGGCGGCACTAAAAAGTGCTCCTGGGTTGACTAACATGGGCCACCAGAGTCCTATCATCATGGCAGCCCACCAGAGATGACACTGTCATTCCCACCCAAGAAGCCTCTGAGAGTCACACACTGTGTGAAGCCCAGAGCCAGGGTTTGGACCCAGGCAAGTGAACTTCTGAGTCCAAGCTTGTAACAGTTACTCTCATTCTCTCCTATCCATTTCAGCTCTGTGGTGAGAAAGTACAGTGATTCATAATCTCCTGCAGGAAACAGGAAACACCTAAGGTAGGCTGGACTCTGTATTTTCCAGGACCCCAAATAACATTATGAATGGAACTAAAGGTGAAATTATATGTACCAAGTTTCGACTAGACTTTAGCTTACCTACTTAATAAAACTGATGGGCTGAAGCAAAGGAGATGATGGAAATATTTTTCAGAAGTGCACCATTACTTCACTTAATTACAGAAGAAGAGGAAAGAGAAGGACACAGAAGGACGTTTGGAATAACTGGATAGGGAATGGGGTAACCTTTTTTTGGACTGCTGGAAAGGCATCAGAAAAGCCAGAATCACAGAATGGTAAAACCTGGTTGAGCTCAAAGCTTATCTTCTTCAATTTTCTGTTTTGAAGGAATAAAAGTGGGGCCCAGAGAAGCTGGCTGGTGCAAATCTATAGAGTCACAGCCACAATCGCAACCCAGATATTTCAGTTTCTCAGGCAGGGATGTTTCCCGTGTACTTGCTATTTAATCAGAAGTGGGATGGCTTCTTGCACAAAGCACTGTGCACAAATCTGAGTAGTATTGGAAATTGTTAAATGTGGGAAATGTCAAGTCCTGGCACAGAGTGAGTCTCAGCAATTATCTACTGTTGCTACAGTCAAAGTCAAGGCTTCATCCTCCTGTGGATGCAAATGGGATGCACCTGACTGCCTGGGACTCTCCACAGCTACCATCCTGGTGCCATCTTTGCACACAATGACTTAGGTGCCCCCACACTGCCAAATGTGTCAAGGACACAGCTGTTCTTTACATTTGGAAAACCCATTTTCCACTGGGTTCTTTCACATAGAATACACTGGGAAAAGCCTCTTAGCTAGAGGTGAAAATCTTCCCTGAGATTCTGATAAAGGGCTTCCTGCATCCCACCCAGAGATAACTTAGCTAGGATGCAAGAAAACAAAACAACAACAAAAAAGCTTTCAGGTTTGGGAAATCAGAACGGAGAAAACATGTCACCAGCAGAATCATTTATTTATGTACGGGCCTTTCCCTCTCAATAGCTCCTAGAACAGAAATAATGTCTGATGCATGCCTTTATCATTTCACAATTTGCACAGTGACCAGTCCCAACTCTGTGGGCAGGTATTTCTTCTCTGTCCTCTGCTCTCCCCTCCAGTGTCTGCGCCCCCTGAGGCCAGGGATGTGACTCATGCACCCATATGTCCCTCCACCTCGTGCAGAGTCTGGCACTTTGTCAGCCCTGAGTAGATGCCTGCTGAATAAACACACGGATGCATTGGCATATGGCGAAGATTCAAACAATTTCTATGTTGATTTGATGCCTGGAAAGAGAAGAAGGTCCAGGCTCTCAATTTGGAAACCATAACAACCAATAGCATTTCAGGCTTTGATGGGGTTTAGAGGGTAGAAATGTAGCAAAAGTCATGGTTGTTAATCAGTAAGTGTCCGCAGCTGTGGTTCTGGAGATGTGCCTTGCCATGTGAATACACCTCCTTGTTCGAAGACACTCACTTTTAGGGGCAGCTGCATTCTTTGGGCATGGAAATAAGGACCAGGGGTTTCCTTACCACAGCCAAAGTGTTCTGTTTTTCCAAGGTAGGTGAATTTATGACTCTCTGTTTGGGGGTGAAGAGCACAGATTGGGAAGCCAGTCTGCCTGGATCCTTATCCCAGTCCAAAATGTTCATCTGGGTAACCTTGGGTAAGTGACAAAATCTTCCTGTGCCTCTGTTTCCACAAATATAAACTATGATCATAATACACCTAGGCTCCCGCCTTATACACTGTCTGTGAAGATTAAAGGCATTAATTCACCTAAGCGCAATCAATGAGTGTGAATGATTATTCTTTTGTATAAGGTACACACATTTCACAGTTCTCCAAGCTCATTGATCATGTTATCGCATTCAATCCATGACCGTGACCTTGTCTCATGAGATGAGATGGTTCCAAGGACATTCATTCATGCTTGCCGAGGTTGGGACTGTAACATCTCTGTCGGTCTCCTGGATTCTTCCCAGGCCCTTCTCCTTATTCTTCCACAGGTTCAAAACCAAGATCTTTGTTTTCTTTGGTGGGATTGGTGAGATGGGGCCCCAACCCACACTTTGTTGAAGCAGCAATTCACTGAGAACGCTGGTGACCAAGTGCAACACCTGCTGTCTGGCAGCCCTGCACCAACCCATAAAACGGGAGGTCTCCCTGGGAAGGCCACAGCTTTTGAAAAGTACAGAGAATCCAGGTGACACATGTAAGATTAACAGTAAAAAATGCAGCCAGCGAAATGCTGTGCCCCTGCCTCTTTCGGCAGTACCCCTCTCCATCGGGAGTGACAGAGGCGTGGGCTAACTCCTTCCACCACAGACTCCAGGTTTGCCTGCCCGACCCTGGAAACTGCTCAGGAAGGCTGGGCAGTACAACCGCACCACTCCAGGACAGACCAAGTGGTTCTTACCTTGAATAACACAATGGCGTAGTCGTAGATTAGCGCGGGATCCTCGGTCTCCAGGGCTCCCTTGGCGTACCACTCGATGGCGGCTTCGGGATTCTTGGTCACACCTTGCTGCCCCCAGAACAGCATCTGGGCCAGTCGTTGCTTAAAGACAATAGCAATTTACAACAGTGCCTTTCCTGTTTAAATCCTAATGTAAGACTTAATATTGGGGGCAAACCTGGTTTAAAATGTTTTATGTGGAGAACGAGGAATCAGAGAGACACACTCTGTCTTCCAGTGATGGGGGCAGGGTGCGGGGAGAGCCTGAAGGTGGATTTGTATTAATACAGCCCCCAACAGTGCTGCCTCTGTGTGTGTGTGTGTGTGTGTGTGTGTGTGTGTGTGTTTACTGCTGTGTGTGTGTTTGCTGGCATCTAGGGCCAGAGCTGGACAGAACTCGGCCCACATTTCACAACTCTCTTTTTCTTGTCTAATGCCCACTCCTTCGGGAGGTTCTGCTATCTTTCTGGACCAGTGATCACCATGGAGATGTCTACAAATCTCCATTGCTCCGCGATCCCTCTAGAGCACCGAGCACAGCTCCCGTCCTGTCATCTGCGGATGGATCCACCATTAGAGTCAAGGCTGGGAGCTGTGGAGCAGCGAGACCCTCAAGATCTTTTTAATCTTTCTCCCTGCACCCCCGCCCCTCGTAGAAGTTCACAGAAACTTCTCTGCCAAGAGTTTCTGAAGCAAAGAATAAAGAAGTATCCCTTGTCAGGGTTGCGATGTCAGTGGAATTTCCAAAACCACACACTGGACTTCTCAGACCTGGGGAGACGCAGCTCAAGGCCAGATGCCAAAGACAGGGGCTGGGTCTGCGGGCAGCCTGGCCCCATGGCTCCCTTCCTGCTCTGTCTGTCATCTCCTTCTCTTTCCTTTTCCCCCCAGATACTTTCATCTTCCAGCGAGGTATCTGCCGACCTGCTGGGGGGATCTGTAGGAGGGCGGGAGGCCCATTCCACAGGAGGCCCTGAGCAGGTGGCTTTGTTAATATCTTTCATTCTCTTTTTTCTTTCCTTTCCCCCTAGCTGCTCCTCTGTCTGCTTAGCGGCTGCTGGGCTCTGGGTGCACTCAGCAAAGGCAGGATCCCTCGGGTAGGAAGGAGGCTCCCTTCCCATGCAGTCACCTGGGCAGGCTGCTGGGGGGGACAGCACTCTTCACAGTGAAATCTAAGCAAGGAATGAGACAGAGGACCCTGCCCCAGTGTGCTGCCCTTCCTTGCACATCTCAAAAATCCATTTAAAGAACACGAGATAGTTGAGAGACAAGGTCGACTCGTTTGGCTTGACACACCGTAATGATTTTCTATTGTTCTTCCAGCTGAATACCTGGGCTTCTTTTCAAAGCCCATCTAATTTCTCCTGAACCCAAGATGCTCCTTGTTTTCTATCTGATGCATCCAACATACCTGAAAGGAACCTGCAGGGCTGCTCACAAAGACTGTGGTGCTCTCCTTCTGGGTGGCCACTAGGACGGCACTCTGTCCCACCGGACGTCACGAGCAGCCATGTGACTTGCTTTGCCAGTGAAACATCAGTAGTGACCTGTGCCACTTCTAAGCAGAGGCCTTAGGAGCCAGCCTGGCCCTGCTGCAACGGCTTTGGAAGCATATGTGGAAAAGCCTTGGTCAGCCAGGGCTCCAAGGGACCGAGAGAGCAGAGCCCTGGCCAGGCCCCGCTGGACAAGAAAGCCTGTGTTGTGAGCCAGAAAGACACTGGGTTGTTTCGAGCCCCGGAGGTTTGAGAGGTTTTGATGGCCTGATCCACCACGGCCAGTGGGATGTCTGGGACGGGGAAGCGTTTTACCTGGGCTGCTGCGTTGCCTCGCGAGGCTTCGTGCTTCAGCCACATGAAGACGTCCCCATCTTCTTTGGTTTGCACCTTGAGTATTTCATCATCTTTTAGTCTAATGGTTTCAACATATGCCTAAAAGGAAGGAAGGAAAGAATAAGGGAAGGAAGGAAGGGAGGGAGGGAGGGAGGAAGGAAGGAAAGACGGACAGGCAAACAAACCCATATGCTATGGGCATGCAAAAGACCTGAGGGTATTTTTAAGGCAGCAGTCAGTTGCTCCAGCACAGACTACGTGAATAACCGAAACCGGAGGCGACCCACCATGTCCCAAGACCACATTCTTTTTAAACAAACGTATTCTGCCTCACATCGCCACACGCGTGTGTGTTCCTATCAAAGTGTTTGCTTTGAGAGGCCAGACTTTTTTTCCCGCTTCCACTTCTAATATTCAAGCTTGTTTGGCAGTCCATCTGGTAGCACAAATTTCAGAGCCAGAAATCACACACACACACACACACACACACACACACACACACAGCCTCAAAAAAGGTAAATCAATATTTTCTGAATATGACCTTAGTTTTTAATCCCAAAGTATTACTATCCTGCATGACTAACCCTTTTTATTTTCAGGCTCAGCTTCAAATATCTTTGGGCTATTTCCAAAAATTTGAAAATCTACTCTGAAAAGAAGAAGGCATGTTAATTCTCAGAATTGGAGAAAGAATGTTCTGGAGGCTCTACAGATGGACCCAAAGGGAGAGTTCATGAAGTGTTTTGAATTTGCACACAGCCTTTGAAGAAAATACGATTCATTTTGATGCATGAATTTTGGCTGTTCATTAGAAGTCTGGTCCCATTGTTCCAGGCTCCCCCTGCCCCCCCCCCCCACAGGATGACCCTGGGCCAGTGCCAGGAGGGGATCCTGAAGAGCACTTTCCATGCCCAGCACTTGTCGCAGGCAGGTGCTGAGGACTTGGGAAAGAAGCATCAAAGCCCAGGGGCCCAGGCCTGGTTTCCCTTCTGACTTCGTTGGTAGTTTAGGAAATACGCAGAGTCCCTGACTCTGGGCCACAGCCCCAGTCCTTCTGTGTCTCCCAGCGGCTCCTGCACTGTGCCTGTGGAGGCAGGTCCCCTTCAGGGGCATTGGAGCTCTATCTGGCTTACTCTTTGCCAAGTGACCTGTGTGTGCAGAGGGTGCAGCCTGAATGCCCTTCAGCTCAACCTCCAGGGGACTCTCTGTTCTCTGCGATGAGCCTGAAATTCCTAATAAGGGATTCTCAACGGGAGGGTTTTTGTTCATCTGGAGAACTTGGGTGTTCTGATTTTTCGATTTCTTTTTCTTCTTGTTTTATTTCCTCCTCCTCCTCCTTGCCGTAGGACTTGAATGAAAGAAATAACACGGGAAGACACTGGTTCTGCCCTACAGGGAGGCTCATACCCTCGGGTCTTCCTGCCCATCTCTGGCATTGATGTCGTGCATCAGAACCTGCCTTACGGCCTGCTTGGCACTGTGCCGACTACTTGCCCAGGTGGATGCATCGAATCTTTGTAACCTGGTAAGACCGTCACTCTGGATATCCCTATCTCACACATGTGGACACTGAGGCCCAGGGAGGTTAACTAACTTGCCTGAGATCATATATTCACTTCTTAGATTAGGAGTTTGGATCCACGTTGCGCAACACTCTGCACCTGGCCTTGGTATTCTGTAAGGAAGAAGCAAGTGGCGGGTTTCACTGTCTCCCAGGTACCTAAGGAACTCCATTGAGCTGGGCTGTGGGAGTCTGGGAAGAGACCATGTCTCCAGGGGGCCCTAGAAGCCAGGCATCACTGTGAAGAAGGAACACGTTTGTCTTTTATATCCCTGACCCAGCCCTTGCACTCTGCTGAGTGGTGCCATTGGGCTTTGCTGCAAGATAGGGCCATTAGGAGCACTCTTAAACATGTGACATAGAGGACTTGAATTCAAACTCACCACCAACTACCTGAAGACCTGGGCCAGTTGCTTTATGTATCTGATACTCATGTTCTGCACCTATAAAAGGTAGCTTAGCATGGTACCTGCTATGTCAAAAGCACTCAGCCTACTAACCATTATGTTTTACACTGCAAACAGAAAGACTTGGCTTCAAATCAAGGCTCCACAAGTTATTTGTGGTGTGACACTTGGAAAGATTTTTAGTATCTCTGTATCTCAGTTGCCTCTTCCATAAAATGGGAATAATATATTGAGCTTACAGGTTAGCATGAAGATTGAGTGAGAAAGTTCATGTGTGAGCTCAGCCACTCCCGGGTGCAGGGCCTGCTCTTACTAACCAGAAACACCATTTTTAGGGCCTTGTGCACTCTAAAGTGAGAAGCGCTGACAGCAGTTAAGAATGTCAGCCTTCCTATTGGTATTTGCAGTTTTGTACAGCTCAAAGCCTTATTTTGTGGGGATGAAGATCTACATAGGGAATTTTGTGCTTAGAAAATGGAAGGAATAGAACTTGGGGAGAGAGTGGGGTGCTGGAGACATGGGAGAGCGTTCACGCTGTGTGCTGGCCTCCGTTCAGCACGTCGTGGTGTGTGGACTAACTTATTTGTGCTGCAAAACCCACGGGAGCCGCAGAGTGTGGTGGCTCCCGTTTTACAGGTAAGAAGCTGAGGTGGAGAGGTGAGAGGTGAGGGAAACTGTCCAAAATTCCCCACTGTGAACAGCAGGGCCCAGGTGTGAACCCAGGTAAACCTGGCCCTGGAGCCACACATGCTGCCTGCCACCCCCAGGCAGGGGGCTGCTTCTCCTTAGCAACTAGTATCATGTCAGAGCCACGTGTCTGGGCCCTGGCGTGAAGAGATCATGTGCGAGAGCATCTGAAGACAGAGCGACCCTTAACGGGGGCAGCATGGGGTTGTCCTCTCACCCAATTAGCATTTGGTGGCCCAGAAAGGAGCTGTGACATGAAGAAGCAACAGTGGTAGGGGACGCAGCAGGGTATGTAGAGCCAAGGGGTGCTGACAGAGATCAAATGTCCCAGACTAGCCAGTTCTGGAATCTTCCACAGTAGTTTCCAGAAGGTTCTTTTGTGGCCATTTATAAAATCAATGTCTCCAGAATGAGCACCGAGGTTCACATCTTATATTACAGGGTTGAAACCTGCTGCCAGGTTCCCCGGAGGCCCAAAGTCTGGAAACTCTGCGATCCTCAGACCACCCTGGGCCACACGCCCGGAGCAGGCACCAGGCTGTCCTGGAGATGCTGGTGCTCAGGGCTTTACCGCCTTGCCCTCTGCTCAGCCTGCAGGCTGCCATCACTGATTTCAGGAAAGTCCAGACGGGGGAGGGTAAAGGAAGGGAGCAGAGAGAGAAGGGAAGAGAGGGAGGGAGAAAGGAGAGAGAGAGGGGGGAGAGAGAGGGAAGACAGAAGAGGCCAGGAAGATGAAAACCCTCCAGACGTGGAGCTGGAGAGGCTCTCAGCAGCCTCATGTTTTCCAGAAGCATCTGCCTTCTGCAGACTTGTGAAATATAATGGCTCTGCCGGCACTCCCGGGAGCACGGAGCAGCTGGCAAGAGGAACGGGCGGTTTCATAGCCTCCACTTAACCTGCCTGCCTCTGCTACCTCCCTTCAGAGCCCGTCGGAACTGCCACAAAGAACCTGCCTTTTGAAGAGCTGAAAATCAGCTGCATGTTGGACTCCCAATAGGGCCGTGTGTTTTCTTTGTTGAAATTTAACATTTTAGGGCTTTTAAGGTAAAGATGGGGAAATATCAACTGTAACTGAAAAGAGACAGAGAAACAAGAGTCCCCAAATGTGGGATGTCAAGAGACGCAGGGTTTAAAGCCACGTGCTCTGGGCACCCACCGTCTGTGATGAAGCCCTTGTCACATCTGAAGGCACTGGCACCAACAAGACACAGCTGTCACCAGCTATTCATCCCCGGATGAGCTCTGCCCTCACACCCCTTCCACCATTCCATCAAGGTAAACGCTGAGCGCCAACTGCACGTCCATCAGCGTGTGGCTCTAGGGTCACCAAGGAGAACAGACAAGGTCCCTACCTTGAGAGCTTATGGTCTGAGAGGGAGCCATCTCTGTAACCCGGGCACAGGAGCTATGACAGACATGGGCTGGGCTCTGTGATGACATTGCAAAAGGAAGATCCAAGGAGGAAGAGGTGACAGCTGTGCCACTGTAAAGGGGGAGGTCCCCAGGGGAAACAGGGCGTGGAGAAAGCAGGACAGAGGAGGAGCCGGGCAAGGCCAGGGGGCAGGAGCACCACAGTGTGGCCAAGGTCTGCTATTGCCAGAGCTGGGGCCAAGCCAGGGTGGTTAAGAGCTGAGGATATGGAAGAAGAGGGTGGAGGCATGTCGATGCGCTCTGTGACCAGCCAGCTGGACTTGGTTCTCCGGGGCCAGTGCTTCTGAACCCTGGCTACACGCTGCACCCACCTGAGGAGCTTTAAATACAAACACTCGCCATCATCCCTCAGGAGCCAAAGGGGATTTGTTTTGCATATAACCCAGGCACATCCCCCACATATTTTCAATCATCTCTCCATTACTTTTCATACTTCATACATTGAAAATGCTATGAAAATGGCCATTAGACTCGCTCATTTAGGGAATAATGACAAGGGGAAAAGTCTGCACATGGTCAGTACAGACACAGGTTTTTGGTTTTTTCTTTTCTTTTTTTTCTTTCCAAATATTTTCAGTCTGTGGTTGGTTGAAGCTGAGGGTCTGGAACCTATAGATATGGAGGGTTGGGAGGACACCAGCACTCCTGGGCCCTGCCCCTGTCGCTGCATTGAGACCCTGGGGTGGAGCCTATGGACAGGTGTTCTTTGAACCCCTGCTGATTCTGACACTCAGCCAGGTAGAGAACATCCTCAGTCCCTCGTGAGAACAGTGGGAAGGGTCAAGATGACCAGAAGACCAGAGAGGAGGCGTGTTCGCTCCTGTGGTTGCCACACACTGGGTGATTTACCAACAAAAACTTATTTTCCCACAGCTCTAGAGCCTGGAAGCCCAAGATCAAGGTATTGGCAGGTCTGATTTCTTCCAAGGAGGCTCTCTGTGGTTTGCATATGGCTTCTTTTCTCAGTGACCCAACACAGCTGTCCCTCTGCACTGTCTGTGTCCTAATATTGTCCTAAAAGGACACCATTCCTATGCAATTAGGGCTCATCCTAATGGCCTCATCTAAAAGCATCACCTCTTTAAATATCTTATCTTTAAGCATAATTCCATTTGCAGATGCTGGGGATTGGAACCTCAGCATACGGATTTTTTTTTTTTTTTTTTTTTTTTTTGTGTGTGTGTGTGTGTGGTTCTGGGGATAGAACCCAGGGCCTAGCAAATGCTAGGCAAGTGCTCTACCACTGAGCTATATCCCCAGCCATCATAAGACTTTTGAGGGGACACAATTCAACACATAGGAGACAGTGGCTGTTGTAGCAGCTCAGTGGAGAGAGGATGAAGGACAAAATCACGCTGTGGCAGTAGGGATGGAGACAGGGAGGAGAGAGAAACTCTCATATAGAGCTGTTGGGGACAGGACGATGGGGCATCAGAGATGATGCCCCAGTTTCAAGTATAGACCATGGTGCCAACCAGGGGAGGTGCTGCAGAGGGTGGGAAGAAGGAGGGGGAAGCTTTCTTTATGATGCCTCTGACTGCAGACGGGGACATGTAAGAAAAGCCTCAGCTGAAGATGAAGGGTAGAGTGTCATCAGCACTCAGTCAGTAGAGAGAACCCCTTGTCCCCCCACCACCCAGAAAATGCAGAGGGAACAGGAAGCCACCATCAAGCCTGGAGGGAGAGCAACTTCCAAGGAGTGGGCAGAACAGGAGGAACTCATTCACGTCGTGAGCCACAAAAGCAAACACACAGAAACACTAGCCATGTTCTTTCTGTTTAATCTGAAGCCGAGTCCCACTAAATCATAAAGAAGTGACATGGAGCGAGAGCCCTGATAAAGAAGATGAAATGATGTGAACCACACATTACATAAAAGAGAAAATGAAACAAGAATCAAGGAGGGAGTTATTGACAGATCCTTGGTTTGTTAATTAGAGGTCTGGCTTTCTATAGCTCCTCATTTGCTACATTATGCTGGTGAATTAATAGATGTCTCAAGAAAAGGACATTTAAATCAATGTATGACACCTGCTTAAATTCTCAAGAAGCCATTAATTACACATTCTTAAGAAAATGAGCTATGACACAACTCTTCTAAGTGTATAATTCCTATCTGAGATCCTTAATCATACGACTTTTCAGCTGCAAGATGGATCTTTTCTCTGGTTCTAACCAATTAAACATTTTCTTTCATAATCATAACATTTCATATGCCAAATCTTCAAAAGAAAAGGAGCTTGTTAGCAACATACCATTTCCCGTTGCTAATTTATGCTGAATTAGAATTCTTTAAAGTATAATATTAAAAAAAGTATAACATGAGACATATAGGGCACTATTAACACATCCTGGCTCTATGGAAAGACAAAGAAAATGTTATTTTTGGAGCCTGGTTTTGTAAAAATGTCTTTTTTCAGGATGATTCTTTTAAGATACTTTATTAATAAGTTAATTCTTATTGAACGGAGGTCAAATTTTGCACATGGTTTATGTACACTGAAAGAATATTCAGTATAAATAATAAGGGGGTGTGAGTTTATTCAGCAGGAATCATTTTCTAAAGGAATTAAAATGTCTCCATAGACGGCCTTTGGTGGTTACAGCTTCACTCATGTTTAATGTTCACTGACAGCACATATCTTTGAGTTGTTTATTTCATAACCATACAGTGGCCTCTATGGATTTCTTTTACGAAAACCATCCATTCCCAAATATCAAAGCATGCATTTTTTTGCACTTTGGGTTTCTGGTACAATCCAGCCGCGCAGCTGGGGACCCAGTGTTCTGATTCTCAATCACCCACTAGCCCAAGATTCGAAATCCTGACCCTCAGGCCTGCTCACCAAGCAGGGGAAAAGCAAGTTATGACACAGATCACAGCCAAATCCTGCCACACAGTTATGTACCGTCCCTGCCTGCACAAGCCCAGGCACCCCGTTCTGTTTCATATTCCTGTGGCAGAGTAGAGTAATTGCAAGGACTGTCCAGGTAAAGTTGAAAATATTTACTATCTGGCCCTTTAGAGAAAAGAAAATATATCACACTTCCTAACTCGAGCAGCTCATGTGCTGTGACCCTGAAGCCAACCTCCAGTCTGCTGTCCCATGACGCAGGCTGATGTCATCAGGCCAGAGCTCTCCTTTTGTCCCTTACTACTTTGAGCCTGTTAGGTCTGGAAACGATCCCTCTGTGAGTCTAATCTAACATGTGGCTTTGTTTGGTTTTGGCAGATGTGAGCCACTGATTTCTTTGCCCAATGAGTCAGTAAGATTTGGAAGCCTGCAAAATGAAGGGCTGGAGTTGGTGCCCCTTATTTAGTCCTTAGTCCAGGACAAAGTCATCAAACATCACCTGCTGTTGACGGTCACCCAGGAGCATGGGGCCAAGGAGGTCCACGTGATGGAGACAGACAATTTCTCAAGTGTGTAGCACTGGGAGCCTGGCCGGGTGTGGCACTGACGTCTCTGTATCGTAGTCCCTGCTTGCTCGCTGCATTATTGATAAGCACCCCGGGAGATTAGTGCCTCTCACAGTTGGACTCAGTCTTCCCTAACATCTCCAGACCTTGCCATTGCACAGTTTTGGAAGAAAGACAAAAGGCTTATGCTCCTAATGCACTTTTTTTTGTTTGTTTTTGCAAAATCCAAATCTGTCCGGGTCCAAATCTCCCCTGCACATACCAATCTACCCACTCATGGAAAGTTTTCTGTGTAGGGATGCGGGACTATACAACCTGAGAACAGAGTCAGAAAATGTAAACTAGAGAGGGCAAGAAAGCCTCTCTCTTCATTTGATCATGCTCGCTCACCCTCTGAGACAAGAAAAAGCCCTTTATAGACAGTTCAGAAACCCTGGTAAACAGCTCCCTCACATTTCCACCCATCCCAGGTACCTGGTCTCCTTGCAGCGTGTGCTGGTCAAGAGGCGTCTTCGTGGCGATATTGCTGTAGTAGGCATACGACAGTTCCCAGTCCAGGGGGTAGCTGTCAATACCCTGGTAGTGCTTGTACCCAAGATTCATTGCAGACAGTCTCTCGCTGCCCTGGCCTCCAACCAAGCTATACAGCATGCCCTGTTAGGGAAATTGGCAAAGTGTTCACAAGACTGAGGACAGGCTTATAAAATCCTAACGCTGAAAGGTCATCCAGCTCAGTCCCTATATAGGATCTTGCCACTTCAGAAATTGTGAACTTGCCTTTGAAAAACGTCCATCTCTAGTAAATCAACTAACCCAGACCTCTTATGGCTTACAAATCCCCAGCTGTCATCCTTCCTAACATCTAGTATCTTAAAATGAGAAATGGGGACCTTCCTGAATTCCCTCAGGACTTTTTTTTTTGCCTCTCAGCCAACTGGTCCAAAGACCCCTGTGCTGCTTCAGCTGCATTCTCTGTGAACACGGGCTCTGAATGTGGGCACACACCCAGCCCCCACTCTCAGAGTGTCTTGATAGGCTGGCTGGTCCAGCAAGGTCATTTCCTATTGGAGGAGATGGAGACCTAGCAAGGTAGAGCACCCAGCCACTGAGTGGCACAGAGAAAGCTAGAATTTTATACACTCGTCCACCTTTGCGGGGACGGCTTCAGGGACTCAGGGAAACATCCTATTGATCAGGAGCATCTATAAACCAGAGGCATTGCAAACAAGTCACTGAAAAGGAACAAGGAGCCGTCTGGGTGTGCGTAAGAGGATGGGTTTCCCCAGTTCAGGGACAATCACGTGTGCCAACATGAAGATTAAAGGTGACCAGGGAGCATTTAGCGCTTTCTTAATTTCTCTCTCTCTCTCTCTCTTTCCGTTTTTGAGATCTCTCTGTATTGCTGAGGCTGGCCTCAAACTCTATCCTCCCGTTTCAGCCTCCTGAGTAGCTGGGACTATCGGCGTGCCCTGGACTCAGTCACATATTTTTGCGATGATGGATTTTATCTGTCAATTTGTCCAAGCAATGGGGTCCCGGTTTATAGGTTATTTCTGGGTGTGTCTGAGGGTGTTTCCAGAGATTAGCACTGCGGTGGACTGAGCACAGCAGATGGCCTCCCAGTGTGGGTGGTCCTCATTGAATCCCTGGAGATCCTAAATAAAACCAAAAGGCAGAGGAAGAGGAATTGTCTCTTTCTGCTTCCTGCCTGTCTGTGTGAGCTGGGACATTGGGCTTTTCCTGTCCTTGAACTGGAATTTACACCATCAGCATCCCTAGTCCGCTCTGGCCTTCAGGCTCAGGCTGGAAATATACCACCAGCCAATATGAGCCAATTCTTCATGATAAATCTCTTCCTATATATATAATCCCATTGGTTCTGTTTCTCTGGAGAACCCTGACTAATACACTTATGAAAATGTGACTTTAAATGTTAGGCAAGTTGCATAATCAATTTGGATTCAAAACCCCAAACAAAACTGTCTGGGATGGCATTTATTTTGATGGTAGAAAGCTGGATGTGACAATGCTTTGCTTAGAGACCCAAATGACTTCTCTTAGCAGAGAAGGAATATGGGATAATGGTCTCACCCTCAGAGTAGTCACGCTCATGGGGAAGAGGACACTGTTTTTTGAAGGAATGGGATTATGGAAAGCACGGATCAGCATGCTCCCAGCGCTGTGTGCAGAATGACACAGAGGGCTCTTTTCCACTCCCTGAAAGCAGGGTATCCCGTGTTTACGCAGCCCCAAGACCCTTCTCCTGGGCGTTCAGGTCTTTAAAGAACTCTAAGGAAGTGCGACACGTCCGGTTCTGGCCAGGGTGCTGCTTTGCAGACACAACACAGGTGGCCGATGGTCCACGAGGTGCTCACCTGCAGCTGGTCCCGAGGCACACTTAATCCAGTTTCATAGAAGACTGCGAGGTAGTAGGATGCTTTATGGTATCCGCAGCAGCTGGAATCCATCAGAAAGGGAGTGACCGAGCTAATTTGGTGAAGACCATCAGAGCTGGAGAGTCTCTTTACAGCCTTCTCGAATATCCTCCTACCGATTTCTAACACAGACTCGCTCTGGCTCCTGGGCCCTGTAAATAACACAATTCACAGCACACAGGATTAATTACCATGGGATCAACAGGGCTTTAGAAAGAAGAGAGAAAAACCAATTAAATCACCTGAGTTATCGATATGGCGGGTTCCACAGTATCTTGAAATATACCACCTTCCAGGGAGGTAAATGAGACCCTTTAGGGATGCCCAGGCGTCGTTCTGTAAATAGCTTTTTCTCTGGCACTAAATGACAGCCTAGTCTCCGGGGGAAAGGATGGGCCTCACAGAGCTGAGCGAGGGCCTCAAGAGGGTAATTTACCCGGCGTCATTCACCACCCAATCAGGACCACTGCAACTGCCACAGAGACGCTTTCCTTCTAAGACTCTCTGAAGAAGAATGTGTTTTATCCCAGAAATAGTTCTTAGGTATTGCTCTAAAAATCTGAGCCAATGAACCTGATTTTGACACCTCCTGCCTGCCTTTGGCCTCCGGTTCCTCTTGTGGGTCTCTGGACACAAAACAACAGACAACTTTCATGGGGGACTTCTAGCCTGCCAGCAGAGAGGTGTGTCCTGTGTCCTGTGCAGATTGTTACTGGATCCCTACGACCTTAGGAGGTCTGTGCTATTATTAGCCTCCTGGGTTTTCTCTGGAACAAGGCTCCCAAGAACACTGAGGCCTAGAGAAGTGAACGTGACCATTTTTATCTGGGACTTGGGCATATAAGACACTAGTAGCTTGGTCTAGTAACTTGTCTAAAGTTACCAAGGGATTGAGGTTGAGCCCACCCTTGATCCCGGCTTTGCAGGCCACTAAGGCCTGAATTCTCAATCTGCTACATTCACCCCCTGACAGACAGGCAGCAACTTGTCACTGTGAATAGAGACATGTCACTCAACTGCCCCCAGCCATGATGCTTCATTTTATAGAATTCTCCCCTAAATCTACAAGCAGAACAGCATCTAAGCCCAAATGAGCAAGTCTGAAGGTCATATAATGTAACTGTTAGAGTCTTCTAAAATCAATCCACATTAATCAGCCAACAAATATGTCCTTTCTAGGACAGGTAAGGCACTGTTCCAGATGCCATGTTACAAAGGTAACATAGGATTGCCCAGATGTTAGGTACGAATAACTCAGGACTTAATTACATGTAAATAATGTCAACCTGAATGTGAAGCTAAATGTCAAGACTGAAATTTCACCTTCCTAAGAACTGTTACATTCAACATTCTTATTTTCTTCATCCTATCCAAAATAAAAGTGTTATTAAAAAGCAAGCTTCAGAAGGCAGCAAGGGACCCTCCTCTTCTCTGCCCTCCATTGGGGAACGGGCAGAGGTGCGCCATGGGAAGGCTTGGCATGGGGTTTATTTCTGGGCAACTCCCTTGCAGAGGTCTATACTCAAAGCAGAGGTCAGAATCAGCAAGGTCCAGGGTGACACTGTGAAAGCTGATACATTGTTTACGAGCTGGTGCTGGTCCCCGTGGGCAGGGTGGGCTGGCTGTCCCTGAGAGGGGACAATGTACCTGCACTGGCAATACCTCGAGCTGTGGTGTCCCCCCTCCACCGCTGTGCTTTGTCTCCCTTGATCCCAAGCACCCAGAACATAAAAGGCGGAAAAAGATTATCTTTCTGAACAAACAGTCGCCCCATTTCCTACATCTTTTTTTAATAGCTGCTTTTTGCGAGAAAAATCAAACCATGCAGATTTGTATAAAATAAAAACAGAAGTGCCCTCTTCCTCAGTCTTTCTTTAACAGTGAAGATAAAAGCTTGGTATGTATGCTTTGAGACATTTCCTTTTAGCATATACAATAATTCATACATACATTCATTTACATACATTGATATACATTTTCTTTCCCAAAATGGCATATTATGCTATTATGAATTCCAACTTTTTTTTAAAAAACGAACTCTACATTATTATTATACAGTTGTCAGAAGCTCATTTTTTCTAATGTCTCAATAGAACAGTCATCCCGTGCTCACCACTGGTGACTGCTTCCAGGACTTCTGCAGGTACTAAAATTCTTGGGGGCCCAAGTCCCACATACAAAGTGGTCTAGTGTCTGCCTCTAACCTACAACCTCTTCCTGTACGTTTTAAATCATTTTAGGATTACTTATAATACCTAATACAATGTAATTGCTATGTAAATAGTGGTTACTCTGTATTGTTTAAGGACTAATGACAAGGAAGAAAAGTCTGTGTTTATTATTATTCTTTCCTGAGGCCCTTTTTTCCACCCACTCAATGCTGGAGGATAGAACCCAGGGCCTTATGCATGCATGTTAGGCAAGTGCTTTACACCAAGCTACTTCCCCAGCCTTTTATTCTTAATTTTGTGGGTGCCTGGATCAAGCTGCAGATGCCGAACCCACAGGCACAGAGGGGCAACTGTCTTGCCTTTGGAGCTGTACCATTTCCCAAGCAGTTGTCTATTTTTAGACTCTTGGGCTGCTTCCAGTGGTCTTGCTCTGAGCAACAGCATGGCGGTGGACATCCTCGTCCGCCTGCGTTCGCCTGTTGGGATATATCTGAATGATAACAGCCTTTCCCATCAGGAGTCTGGGGATCTTGTTTTGGATTTTCTTTGTGTAGTTGAGGTAGGAATCCCACCCTCCTCGACCATTAGCTGCCTTCTCCTCTGGATTCAATATGCACCGTAGCGTTCAGACAGGGTTGCAGCATAAATTCTACTGCTACTTATTCATAGATTTACTTCTAAATATGTTCTCATTTCAGGTGCCCCTCTGTGCACAATCTCAGCAAAGCAGCATTAACATTTTGTTAACGATTCATTCCTGCCTCACCTGCTTTGCCAAATGCCTACCTAAGAAGATGGGTTTTGCCTGAGTACACACAGATCTGAGCTTTGTGGGCTCAGAGGAGGGAAGAGACTCTAAACAAATGAAGCTCCACATAAAACACTTGCCCTGCTGACCCCTGGCTTGGAACTCCAGAAATCATTAACAGGGCTGCCCAGGTACCTGGGATCCCTGGAAAATAAGGAACCAAATCAAATCCTTCACAGCGCTCAGTGAAAAACCTCAGCACAGAAAAACTTTGCAGACTGAAACATGGGCTGATTGTAAGGGCTCCATTATTTCTTTTGTATATTACAATTCTTAACTCCCCCCAAAATATTGCAATCACTTTTTTGTCTGCATAAGAATCTAAACAACTTTCTGCACCAGTGACTGTAATAGAAACTAATAATTCTAAGGTAAAATTGCTCATTTCACACATTTGTTAAAGTTTAAGTTCCAACTGTTGCCGAAAATCAAAGCTGTGATGTCTTTGGTGATATTGTGAAACTGGCGATTTTAAAGTCAGTTTAATGAAACTGTTAATTTCACCCATCTGGTTTAGCATATGCATTTTTTTTTTTAGCGGATCTGCAAACATGCCTTGTTTATAGAGATTAATGGGGGTAACAAAGAAACAAACAAACCACATAGAAGGAGCCATTCCCCCATGCTCTGTCTCCCTGTACTAGAAGCGAAGGGACAAAAGTCACAGCCACCTTGAGTTCACCTCTAGTATTTTCCAAGGGGCACAGCATCATTTATTTTGCCCTTTTCTTTTTTTTCTTTTTGACAATAATGGCATAAGGTCCCGATTTGTGTGCTCATCATTAGAAGAGGCAAGAAGCAAACTATGAGAAGGTGGCCACTTGCCGAAGGCCCCGGAGCTGGAGCCAGCATCTGATTGCGAATTCAGAGGGAGAAAGGCACCCTCGTTTCCTGTGAGAGGGACAGGGACATCAATAGGAAAGTCATTTTTAGTTTCAAGCTTCCGAAAGGCACACTGCATCCAAAGTAGAAGTTCGAAAGACAGAAAAAAAAAGGAAAAGGAGAGAATGTCACTAAGCCATTGGAAGGAGTGATCATCAAGTTTACTGATTGAAACACACAGCGCGTCGCGCCCCTGGTTTGCATTCTGATTCAGTGAGCCCCAGGGGCTCCCCAAGCTTCAGGGGCTGGTTTACCTCTCTCTCTGGTACCTTTCAGCACTGTGTGAACTTCCTGATCTCATACGAGTAATCTCCCTCTGTGCCTCTCTCCTTGTCCTCCTTTCTTCTTCCATCTCTCTCTCTCTCTCTCCTTTCAGGTTACTCTCTGGGTTGGAAAGTCAGAGCTCATTCTTTGTGTTCCCCCCTACCCCCGTGTATTTTTTAAAAACTAAAAAAAAAAAAAAAAATGTATGCTTTAAAAAAATAATAAAGATGCTGGTTCTTCAACAAACACAAGTGAAACTGCTCTTAAAAGAAAACAGTGTCCTGGTGTTCTTCCACAACATCATTGCATTTGGAACACATCCATGCTTGCGTTATAGGGTCTCCAAATAAACGCTGCGGTCCTTGGCAAAAAAAAAAAAAAATGAAATGGAAAACAAAGTAGCGTTTTGCTAGTGAAGCCGGTAACTACTGGGCACCTCATGTGGGGACACCTCTTCCCTACATCAGCACTCCAAAGCCTGGGGCAGGAGGCAGCAGTGGCCCCCAAAGAACCAGGCAGATGGTGTCCTCCCTGGGAAAAGAGCCCAGCCTCAGGCCTGGCCTCCTCCCAGAGAACCATTTATTGGCAGATCTTGGACTTCCTGTAGCCACAGGCACCAGCTCCAAGGTACCCAGACACAGATGACCCCAGAGACATGCTGTTCATCTCCCCTGTCTTCCCCCGCATCCCTCCCTGCTTCATGTCACCTGCTTAGAACCCTGGACCCCGCCTGCCTGCCTGCACCTGAGCCCGAGTCCTTCCCACCTGCTCCCTGTGCCGGTCTCCAGCTCCCTCGCCATCGCCTTTCCTGTCACCTCCCTCCAGCCTCGCTTTCCGGGATGTGAGCTGAAAGGGGTTTTGAATTCAAACAGTTCAGTTTTGACAGGAAAAGTGTGACAGGAGAGTGAAAGAAGTAGCCAGCACAACTCTTAAATAATGAAAAAGCATGCATACTAAACACGCCTGTACCAGCACTAGAAAAACCCAAAGGCTCATAGGGCGATTCCTAGGCCCTGGCAGGAGCCAT